GTTCATGAAGGTAGTCGATCAGCGGGCGCATCTGGGGCTTGAAGAAGCACTCGATGTCGTCGTATATGCAGGCGTTCGAGCCTGGCATGATCAAGAGCTCCTGCTGCGACTCGTGGAACCACTCGACGTGATGCATCACGAGCGGGTGGACGCGGTCGATCACCAGCCTGGGGAAGAACTGCTGCAGGCGAGACTGCAGTGCGTTGGACAACTCTCCGATCGCTACGCCCGGCGCGTCGATGCCCGAGAACGCGCAACTGATCGTGTCGTTGCCGAACTTGTCGTAAACGTCAGAGAGCAAGCCAGCCTCCTCGGCAGGGTTCTTCACTGAGTACTCCTCCGCAAGACGATCCAAGACATGGTCGGGCCATGCCATTGCCTCCGACATGAACCTGACGGCCCGCTTGCCTTGCCAACGACTGCCGCGCGAGCGGGGCTCGACCCAAGGGGTGCACGCAGGATCTGGCACTGGAGGCGGCGGGGCGTTCCCGCCGCTCGAGCTGCTTGGGCTGGCGAGGCGGGGGGCACGATGCAGCGGCGACTGCGGGTGATTGGACCGAGCGATGCTGGCACCTGCAGGCTTCGCATCGGAGAAGGGCGAGCCAAACAACGCAGACTCCGTGGGCGAGCTCGGCGCTGCGGGCCGCGCGGGCGGCGCAGACAGGCAAAGCGTCTCCATCAGGTGCTCGTCAGCAACAGCGGTGGCCAGCCTGCGTGGGGTAGGGCTGAGCATGTCGGCGTCTGCGACAGCAGCTGGGTCATCGCCATCGCCGCCAGCAGGCCCCGCGGGCGCGACATCGGCATCTGCGGCAGCAGCTGGGCCCTCGCCATCGCCGCCAACAGGCTGCGGGTGCGCGGCGGGGCCCGCGCGCGGGCCCGACGCCAGCTGCAGCGTCGACGCCCGGATCATGGCGGACCCAGGCGAGTCCGGCGCCACGTCGGATGGTGGCGACGAAGGCGTGGGCTCCTCGGCCTGGCCGACGAACGCGGACGCCGCCGCCGCCGTCCGCCTCGCAGCACTGAGGTCGATCGGCTCGGTCGCAGCACTACCGTCATCAGCACCATCAGACCAGTCGCTCAGGTTTCCGCCGGCGATGTCGCCTGCCGCACCTGCAGACGGGCAGTCGCTCAGGTTGCTGCCGGCGACGTCGCCTGCCGTCACTGCAGGCGGGCTGGTGATGCTGCGGCGCTTCTTCGGGCTGGGCGTCTTGAAACCTGCGAACTTGTGCAACGTAGCCTGGATGGCCACCGCCTTGGCCTCAGGGTGACAACGAGTTACCATAATAAATTAATGTAGCGCATCCAACCCGCATAGTAAGGATGTAAGGATGCACATTAAGGGGGGAGGGCGCAAGGACCGCGGAGGAACACGTCAACGGTTCTCGAACGAGGTTGACAGACGACAATCGCTAAGGATGTTACAAATGGGCAAGGATGTAAGGGCGGTGTTGATAAGTGGATCAACCTTACTATGAGGATGGATGGACTACATCGATAATATGTCACGCAGTCGGCATCGTCATATTTACAGGGGGCGGTCGCCAATGCCAACCATCATCAGTATGATGGTTGGCGTGAGGAGTGATATATACAACTATGTTTGTGTATATCTATATATTCACATATATGTATGCTTATATAAACCTTACTAGATGTATCACGGATGCCTTGGCAGGAGTAGCGGCCGTCCTGCGCTTGGGCGCCGGCTTCATGGCACGCTTGCCGATGGTCAACGAGTGGGCTGGAATGGCAGGAGTAGCGGCACTCCTGCGCTTGGGCGCCGGCTTCATGGCACGCTTGCCCATGGTCAGCGAATGGGCTGGAATCTGGAGTGCTGGAGCTTGCGAAGGCAACGATAAACTCGAAGACACATACACAAATAGCCAAAACAGCTAAGGACAATGGACATATACCAGTGCACGCGCTGGTCTGAATTAGCAGCAGGGGTAGCGACATACACGATGCATGTTGGATGGAGGAGGCGATCTTCGTCATAGACACAGCGTAGGGACATGGCCCATACGCGCAACTGTCAGTGTAGAGATCGACTCCCCACGTACCACATGCTACATGTAGGTAGCTAGACCCCTACGGCAGTTGTGATGGTGTGTAAGGGGTGGGGTCCCTACGTACGTGTCCATATGTAGGGAGTATCATCCCTACATGCCGAACATGTCGTGTAGGGAGACATCTCCCTACACGTGGATAGGCGGTATGTAGGGAGGATGGTCCCTACACATACAGATGGGTGTAGGGAATGACCTCCCCACACCATATGTAGGTGTAGGGAGGTGGGTCCCTACACATAAGTGGGCGTAGGGAGGCGGGTCCCTACATGTAGGTGGGTGTAGGGAGGTGGGTCCCTACATATAGGTGGGTGTAGGGAGGTGGGCCCCTACATATAGGTGGGTGTAGGGAGGCGGGTCCCTACATATAGGTGTATGTAGGGAGGTGGGTCCCTACATATAGGTGGGTGTAGGGAGGTGGGTCCCTACAGTTATATATGCGTGTAGGGAGCAACCTCCCTACACACTGTATGTACCGTGTAGGGAGGGACCTCCCTACATGTGGATATGTGGCGTGTAGGGAGGTAACTCCCTACATATACATACGTGTGTAGGGAATGACATCCCTACACCACGCACATACATGTAGGGAGTGACATTCCTACACCACAGACAGACATGTAGGGAGTGACATCCCTACACCACATATGGATGGATGTCTTGTAGGGAGATTGGTCCCTACATATATGTTCACCTGTAGGGGCTACATCCCTACACATCATATACTACATATATTGCACGTGTACATCCCTGCATGGTGATGTGTGATTATATATATATGTACGTATATGCATATGCACATGTACGCAGGGAGGTACCAGTATACACATCATATACATACCGCAGGGGGGATCATCATTCCATTGGACGAAATGCGGAGAGAGATGCACATGCGCATGCATGGATCCGCGTGGACATACATCCATACATCCCTACATCGTGCGTGTATTATGTACAGGGTGCATGCGTACAGTGAGCGACGTGGTGGGATGATGGTATATAGTATATACGCGTGCGTATATATGTATGTGTGGGAAGCGAGCTGATCATCACCACGCACATCACATATATCGTGTGGTGCGCCAACCTGTATTATGTCGATACGACGCGCATATGATGTACATATGTACAGATATGCAGGGAGCGTCGCCACATCCACGCGCATCGTCTACACCATGCAGAGAAGTGCGCAACACTCCGTAGCGTAAGGGTGGGGCGGTCGGTGCAGACATCATCCTCTCCGATACCGTCCGGGATCTGCCATGGCCATGAGCTGGGGCTGCACTGGTACATATCAATCCCTCTCTCAATCTCCATTTCCACCTCCTCCTCATCATCATCATCATATGTCTATCCTTCTTCTCCTCCTCCATCGGACTCCATCATCATCGCCGTATCCATATTGTCCTCCTCCTCAACCTCATAGTCATCCTTTTCGCTTAGCGTGCGATGGTCGCTAAGGTCGCAGAACAATTTCGTTAGAGTTTAGCAGTCATCTCGCTAGAAGTCGCACGCGACGCTTAGATGGGGGCCTCTGTGGAGTTCTGAGTCATGTCATCGTTTGACCTCGCCCGCCCTCTTAAGAGCCCGTTAGCGTATCCTGAAAAAAGATGTTGCATTATGGAGTCATGTGAGGTGAGGTGAGAACCACGCGGGGGCCAGGTGGGTCGTCGAGAATCTCTGGGCAGTAATATCAAGTGTGTCCCCCTCTCGTTCTCCTCAGTTATCCTATCACTCTCGAGGTCTCTCCTGCTCTCCTGCCCCTCCTTCCTCGCGTCGCCTTGGGCGCCCGCGCTGGCGCCCGCCGCTCGCCAGGACCTCCTGGACTCTTCGACCTCCTCCGGCACATCGTCGGCTTCCTGCGCGCACGGTGGCGCGCAGCCGCCGCCAGCCGCCGGCCCGAGGGCGAGGAGGACGAGGAGGATGTAGGTTCGAAGGAAAAGGATGACGAGGAGGATGACTTAGGAGGACGAGGAGGACGACAAGGCCCCAAGCATGCGAGTGGTGTGCCGATGCATTGGATGCATTCGCTGAGGTCTTCAATGGCGCTCTCGCTTCAGCGCGAGACAAGATTGCAGAGTGAACGGGAGTGAACGGGTGGGCGAGGGAGATCGCGAGGGATCCAAGAGGGCCCAGATGGTGTCGAGGGAATCCAATACGGCCCTCCCGAGAGTAGGAACCTAAATGGCCCCGGAGCCCCCCAAAGGCCCTAAGGCGGCCGTGGCGAGTCAAACGCTTTCGAGAAACACGCCTTGCGGCAGGGGGCCACCCCGGGTACTTGCAAGCATTCAAGATGGCATCCGAGGGGCCAGCCAGAGACCCGCGCCCAATATCGAGTAGGAAGGCACCAACTATACACCAACACCGATCCTGGCCAGGATCACCCTGGGCCCAGGATCGGTATACGCCCTCCTGCCTTGCGCAAGAAGGCATATACACCGATCCTGGGCCCAGGGTGATCCTGGGCCAGGTTCGGTGTTGGTGTATCGTTGGTGCCCTCCGATCGAGATATCAAGATATCGAGATATCAAGTCCTCCTTCTCCTCGGGCCCGAAAGGGGGCCCCTCCTAAGGATCGCAGCGCCCTTCGCGTGTCCCGGCCCCGCCCGTGTCGCGTGCCGTATCCCGCCCGTGTCAGTATCTCTCCAGTATCCCGCCCGCGCCCCGCCCGCGCTCCGCCCGCGCGCAAACGCGAGCGGGGCGCGGGTGGCATGCGGGTGATACGGCAAGGAGCTCCTGAGCTCGCCCCAAATCCGTAACCATTTTGGCCGATGCTAGATCGCGCCCCGCTCGGCCCGGCCCCGCGCTCAGCCCCTCGCCCGGCGCGGTCGCGCCCTGCCCATCCTGGCGCCCCGCCTGGCGCCCAGGCCCGACGCCCAGCCCGACGCGCAGCCAGACCGACGCCCAGGTCCGACGCCCAGCCCGACGCGCAGCCATGTCCAGCAAGACGTTCACTGAGCTGAAGCGCTGGTCGGGCCAGTATACTGAGCGAGATGAGATTGGACAAGTGTGGAGGGCCACGCTCGTGGCGCTGAAGTGGGGGGGCGGAGGCGTCGAGGAGCAGTGGCTGTGGAAGCTCGACGGCGAGCCCAGCGCCAAGCCCAGCGCCAAGACCGACATCACGCCCGACGCCATGCCCGACACCATCGACGACGACAAGAGCAAGGGCAAGGGCCCGGGCAAGGGCGGCAAGGGCAACAAGGGCAAGGGCAACGACAAGGACAAGAAAGGCAAGGACGGCAAGGGGGGCAACAACAAGGGCAAGGGCGGCAAGGACAAGGCCAACAAGCGCAAGGCCGACAAGGGCACGGCCGACGCGGCTGACGCGGGCAAGAAGGGCAGGCGCCGCTGACGGCCGACCGCCAGCACGCCGGCGGGCGTTGCGCCTGGACTGTGCTCGAGGGGCCGTGGGTGGGACCTCCTTTGGGGCCATGGGGCCACGTGGCGCGTGAGGGTCGTGCCGATGCGGGCGGGGAATTCCATGGGGGGGGGGCCCGCTGGGGCCTCTGGTAGAGCTCCGCATGTTGCGACGCAGGATGGGGCTAGTGGCGGGTCGGCACGAGATAGATGGTACCAGGGGCCCTCCAGGGAGCCGTGGCAGGCCCTCGGGACCGATGCCGCAGCAAGTTTCGAAACCCCCCTTCTCCCCCCTTCTCCAGATCCCCCCATCTCGTCCGACCCGACAGGGGGGTCCAGCGCCGACGCGGGACGTCCGCGCGGAGCTCCGATTGTCTGCGCATGTCACTGTCTGCTCCTCGACCCTGGGACCCAAGGGCCCTTCGAGCACGGCCCAGGGCGCCCGCCCCACGCCCGCGCCGACGGCCCCGTCGCTACGCACCCAGGGTGACGCATGACGCACCCCTTCCAAACGCTTTCAGAAACACGCTACCCGCTCGCTCCCCTTCCCACCCGTCCTCGTCCTCGTCCACAACCACAGAGACTGAAAGGGGCATCCCAAGGCATCACCGTGGGGTGGGGTATCGCAGTATTTGTCAGGGCTCCCTAGATGCTCTTAGAGGATTGGCTCCCCAGACAATCTTACTTGGGCCGATCTGGCGAGGGCGACGAGGAAGGCGAGGGATGAGGGAAGAGGGAGGTGGAGGAGGCCAATGTCGCGATTGCCACGGGCGCCAGCGAGCATCGCATCTTGCGCAGAGGGCAGGGAGGAACCCTGACGGCGCCAGCCTCATTGTCGGGCAGGGGCGACGATAGATGAGAGAACGACGCCCTCGGAAGAGCGTAGCTGGCCAGATGAATTGAGCGGATAGGGGGCCGAGGTTAGGTCGGAGAAATGCGGGCGGGGAAGCCATCCATGTAAGTGAGATCGCGGGCGGGCGGGCAGGCGGGCGGGCGGGCGGGGACAAGCGCCAGTCAGGGCTCGGAGGGAAGGCCCAGGTCAGGGAGGCGGGCGCGGGCGGGGGAGTGGAGTGGGCGGTGAGGGGATCGAGGATTCAGGGTCGAGAGCCGAGAGCCAGGATGCCCCGGGCGCGGTCTCCTGGCGCCTTGGAGCCCCCGCGCTGTTATACCGAAACGCGACACCACCTGCATAACGACCTGCGGGGCAGGCCTTCGGCCCTGAGCTGGGTCGGCTGGAGGCTAGTGATCTCAGGCGTCTCTCTCTCATCGGTCGCCCTCCCCCCTCCTCCTCCTCCGCCTCCGCCTCCTCCTCGTCCTCCTCCTCCTCCTCCTCCTGCCCCTGCTCCGCTTCCGCTCTCATCATGGCCCTTCTCCTCGTTCCGCCACCCCTGTCGTTCCTCCTCGTTCGCCCTCTCCTCCCTGATGCCTCGCCCTCCGCGTCGCTGTCACCCCTGGGGTGGCAATGGGATAGGATTGGGGAACGAAGGAGAGAAAGAGAGAGAAGGGGGGGGGGGAAAGAGAGAGAGAGAGAGAGAGAGAGATAGAGAGAAAAAAAAAAGGGATATGGACCATGGATAGAGAGAGGGAGAGAGAGAGAGAGAGAGAATAGAGAGAGAGAGATAGAGAGAGAGAGAGAGGGAGAGAGTGTGAGAGAGAGAGCAAACAATAGGAATAACACAAGCAACAAAGCAGAGAAATATAGAGAGATAGAGAGAGAGTGACAGAAGAGAGAGAGAGAGAGAGAGAGAGAGAGAGAGAGAGAGAGAGAGTGAGAGGGAGAAAAAGAGAGAAAGAGAGAGAGAGAGAGAGAGAGACTTCAGAGAGAGAGAGAGAGAGAGAGAGAGAAACAACACTAAATACATACATATATATATATATACATATTTATATAAACAACACACAGTTGCAACAGCGAGCAAGGGCGAGCGAAAGAGCGAGAGAGAGGGGGGGAGATGAAGGGGGGAAATGAACAATCGGGCGGCGGGGGATGTTAGAGCAATAGTTGGAATGGACCAAGGGACTAAGGGTTCCTGAGTTCGTGCTTCGCGCTGCGCGAAGCTCGAATAACTTCGCGCTCTCGCGCCGCCTGCCCCCCGCCCACCCCTCCGAAGGGAGGTTAGGCGCGGGGGGGGGACCGCGGACCGCAAAGCGCGAACAACTTCGCGCCCTCGCCGGAGCCCTACGCGATATGAAGGCAAAGCACGCAGGGCATGACCTCTGCAATATCCCGTGGAGCTCGAAGCCACCTGGAACAGCTGCATCGGGTAGCTGACGCATAATAGAATCTGCGCTGCATTTGTCCATACACGCCGCGTGCCACCCAAATCGGCACAGAGGGCACCCAGTATCGGCTGGCATCGCACGGCCATCGTGTGTCAAACACCACATGCACGAGTACTCTTTCATGGCATCTGGTTCGCGTAGAGCCAGCTGCCACCTGCCCATCAGATTACTGATGTCAGCAGGCAGCGCCTGTCGAGGATTCTTTCTATCTGCCTTCGCCTCCAAGGCATCTTTGGTCGGCCCCTTGATCCTGCGGTCCGATATGCCGATGGCAGGATGGATGACGACGGACTCGTGGTTCAGTACAACCTCGGGGTCATGCATGGGCGTGATCGTCATGAGCTTACCTGCAGCATCCTGCCGGACGAGGCGGGCCTTGTTGGCCTTGACGCTAATCCACGATGCGATCCGAACCCTGCCAGCAAACGTCACCAAGGAGAACTCCCCGTTGGCACCAGGCAGAATGTTTTGGGCAGGCGGCCCTGGCACTCTGCCAAGCAGCTCGACGCCTGCCAAGAACTGGTGATGCCATTCCCTCTTCAGCAAGTCAAGGGCCCCGCTACCGTCAACGACGCCCATGGCAGCCTTGCTGTTGCACGCTGCCTCCAACAACAACTCTGGGAAGGACTCGCCGCCCGCCGGGTCGACGACGTGCTTGACGGCCTCCTCCAAATCCTTGTCCGTAATCTTGCCTGCCTTGGTCGCCGCAGTGACCTTGCCCTCCTCTTCTCTCTCGAGCTGCGTGAGTAGATTGGCCATCTCGCGATCTAGGTCGAGGTCGCCGTCCTCCTCCCCCGCCTCCCCGCTGGCCGCTGCCATGAGCTCCTCCGCGGCAGCCTTCTCGGCCGCCGCCGCAGCCTCTACATCTGGCCCCGGCTCGGCGCCGCTGCCTGCCGCGCCCGCGGGCGCGGCCTTCCGCCGTTTCTTGGTGGGCTGGTGGGTCATCGTGAACAGGGGCGCCTGATCAGGCGACGCCGTGCATGTAGCGAGCAAGCCGCGGTCCCACACAATCGGTCTCTGCGAGACGCGGACGCTCTGATGAACCTTGAGTCCAATCTTGATCAGCTCAGAAAGTGGCTTCTCATCAACTCCCTCCACGGCGCGGACTTGGCGCGTGGTGTAGTATTCGGACAGGAAGATTTCCAGTGAAGATTTGAAAGCGCATGCTAGAGGGCGTCGCACCGACACAACCATGGTCTCTGGGTCGAAAAAGCACTCGGCAAAATGACCGTGTGACTTATACTTCTCGCAGCAGATGAAATAGGTGGGGGGGCCGATGGCGTCGTCGTGGGCCATTGGTTGCAGCTCAATCATGGACGTTGCTCCCCTGTGCTTCTTGACTGTGGAACTCCATTGTGAATTATACTTGCTCGCGCGCACAGCGTCGTTCAAGTCGGGGGCCCGCTGCGGCGCCGCCGGGCACGCGGCCGCGTCGGCTGGATGGCCGGCGGCCGCGGGGTCGTCAGCTATCGGCGCGGGCGGCGCGATCGCGGCCCCACCTGTCGGCAGCTCGCCAGGCGGCGGCGGCAACGGTAGAAGGAGGGTGCCATCATCATGCAGCGGCAGCGGCTGGTGCTCAACTGGAGTCTGATATCTGAACGCGTCCATAATCTCCTTTACTTCTTTGATATGTGTCAGGCACGTGGTCATTATTGACTCAGCCTCAGTCTTGCAATCGCGCCACTTCCTGTTGATGGCCGCCCTGGACCTGTCCAGGAGCCCTTTGATTTGCACGCGGCTGGACATGAGATCAATGCCGATGTTCGGCGCGCGATCCGACTGTATAGTGATGAATTTGTTGATGGTCTCTGCTGGCTGCTGGTCCCCCTTCACCATGCGCCTCCACATCACAATGCACGTCCATAGCCTCGGCGGGCAAGTTCCATGAGCAGATGCCTCATGCAGCTCTGCGGAGTAGAAATCCCTGATGCTCTTCGTTACGTCGTCTAGGTCGCTGGACGCCAAGATCTCGCGCGCCACACCTCGCGGCCGCTACAAATGCGCAAATCAAACATGCATCATCATCATGGGCACGACGAGACGACCACGTGCCGGCCGGCCCAAGAGGGAGGAGGAGACGGAGGAGGACGAGAAGGAGGAGGGAGAGAGAGGGGGGGACGGGAAGAGGGGCGGAGGGGAGGGGGGGTAGGTCGATGGGCCGAGGGGAGAGGCGCAGCGCGGGCGGGGGGGGCGAGGAGAACGAAGTGGAGTTGGAGGAGGAGGGGGAGAGAAAGAAGAGCATGGGGATGATGAAGAGAAGGGGAAGAGGAGAACGAGGAGGGAGACATCCTAGTTTGCTAGGTAGGGCCCCTTTAGGGCGTAGTGCGCAGCTACCCCGCGCGGCGGGGGCGCGCCAGAGTGCGCTGGTTCCACCGCTAGCAGCGGCGCTAGCATAGACTGGCATAGACTTACAAAATCACCGAGGTCACCGTCACCGAAGGGGGGGGGATGGGGGGGGAGGAGGAGGAGGAGGAGGAAGAGGAGGGGGGGGAGGGGGGAGAGGAGGAGGATGATGAGCAGGAGGAGGAGGAGGAAGAGGAGAGGAGAGGAGAGGAGAGGAGAGGAGAGGAGAGGAGAGGAGAGGTGAGGAGGAGGAGGAGGAGGAGTCAGGAGGGAGGAGGAGGAGGAGAGGAGGAGGAGGAAGGAGGGAGGAGGAAGGGGAGCGAGGCGAGCGAGGAGCAGGAGGAGCCGGGCGGCGTCGCCCTGGCGGGC